GGAGTTCTTTTACAGTGCGGAGATATTATGTCTCACCAAAAACGATCACTGAACCGGGTCCTACGATGCATATCCCAACGATCCCAGTTAAAAGACAGTTGCAAACAATGCGAATTTTCATTGGTAGTGCCAGCCAAACGTTGAATTGAAAAAGGGAGAAACGTGCGGTATATATGCGGTTGATCGCCGTTTAGTCATGTGTCCGTAGTTGGAGTTACGAAGACAGCGATGGAGAGATTGGACAAAAAATGGTTGCCGTTCTCTGTTCCTTACTCCGACGACTACATATCCAGGGCCCTCGAGAAAACGCCGACACGCTCTCCCTGTGGCGGCTGAGCCTAATCCATTTCAAATGCAAACCGCGGTATTTCTCGAAGGGAGGTTAGGCTTCTCCTACTGAAGATCTATTTCATCTGATGAGAATAGGATCTAGTTTTCATCTCAGAAATGACAACTGATCCGAAGCGCCTAGAACACTGAACAGACTACAACACCCCAGACACCGATGACAGGAAGTCCAGCTACGTAAAATTTATCACGGCATTCTCTGCGTACTTTAGAATGTCATATATACAGATCGCAAACAAACTGAGCACTGATGGAATGATTTTTCTTTCAGTACAATTTCAAGAGAGAGAAACACCTAAACCCTCAAGACTGTAAAATATGGCAGAACTAAGGAGAGTTTGTAAGCAGTTGGGGACAGTATTCTCAGGGTTACAAATCAATCAAGTCCTATTTAAAGTATGCCATACGGAGTGAGCGCTATTTTGACTAAAAAAAGCTATTATTAAAATTTCATTTCACTAAGGCTTTTCTCTGTACTGACCATATGTTCCTGGGATGTCTGAATACGCTACATTTGGCCGCTGTACGTGTGATTAGGTAAATGTGATCGTGATTTGTCAACAGTGTAAATCACTCCGGAATGTGCAATACTAACGCCAGGTTTGGAAATTTCAAGTTATGAGCTGCATCGGGTGGAAAGCGCATCGGTGACTAGGCTATCACCTAACTCAATCAAGGTCTGTAACCGGTCTTTCGGGTCAGCTTCAAAGTCCTGTCGGTGAGTGCCGTTACGTTCATACACAATAGGGCGATGAGCAAACGACAGCGGCAACTGATGCACAATGCACGGATGTAAGACACCATCAGGCTTTCCACCAATCACTTTTGCAACACAACACGCATGTAAGTTTGCTTTCCCGAGAGAGGACGGAAACACGGTGAGTTTCGCCTCCCGTGTGGTTCAACGCCATGATGCTATTGGACCGTAAAAGTTGGTTTCGTATTGGATGTTAGCAGGTGGCGGTCAATCTGGCAATCAGACCACGTAGCGAGCCAATCACAGGCATCAAATAGCACTGACAGCGAATAATAACCCATTCGTCATGCTACGGTGCATGTGTGGCGCCCGATGCCAAGCGATCACCCATGTTATGTGCACCCACACGTATCACAGAGTTTTGCCTTGCTTCAACGCACGAAGAGCGTGGGAATACAGGTGCGTAGGAAAAACCTGCGACCATCTGATCAATGTTGTGTGCTGAACGAAAACGGGAACAACTAAGGCGTTTCGGTCTGAAATCAAAATGATCCTTACCACAAACATGAAAAGTTCATTGATTATAACTGACCACCACTACTCACATTTAACTCTGAGTTAAAGGTGAATTACTAATCCAGCCTAGTAGGTTTGTAGCCAGATAGCCCACAGCCCACATGAGATACCTGGTTTGGTGGGAAGGCTTTCGACTGCAGTCAACTCTCTCTCTCTCTCCGTTGCTGTCAGGCAAAAATGAACTAACTGATTATCACTAAAGATGACACCTGAACAAACATCAATTGGCAATTCTGTTCAGCCTTAGCATGAGCTGGTTGGCACAGTGGTTGCACACACGCCTTCCAAGCGATGGCTTCGGAGTTCAAATATCGGACGGGACGCTGAATATGCACTAATGACGGTCTCGAATAAGAGCGAAACTCGAGTCTAATGCTTCCGAGTGTATGGTTGACTGGAAGAACTGAGGATTGATTGTGCTTGAAGGTGAAGTGTAAAATGTGAAGAATTGTCAGATCTAATCGACCAATATCAATTATCGCACAACACTTCTCACAAGTAACTGTTAGTTAAATTTAAACATGAAATGGTATAGAAATGCATTGGAGTTGTGCATGCTGAGTATCATGCAGAGGGCGCGTCAGCACCGGGACCGCTCGGTCTTGCAATATGTTTCATGATCAATCCACCTATCAGCTCGTGAAGTCCGTAATTATCACACACGTGTCATCTCGTTCTGGGTACTACATTTCTTTTAAATTGTGTCTCGTCTCACCAAATTGTTTGGCCTATTACATAATAGGCCGTATTCAACCAGTTGATGAAGTATCGAATTTACGCTTGTTTGCTCCATTTCATTTCAGACATAATGCATGTGGTGGTTGGTGCCACATGGTGGAATGCCAATGTAAACAGAATGAGAAATACTGTGACAAGGACGTGAAGCAACGGGACAATCTGTGTTGGTCTATTCACTAATGATGACAAACAATCCGGAACAATTAGTTCATTTGCGTTCGGTTAGAAAGTAACTACTCACAGAACTACCCAAGGAAAGTTATCAGCAGTATGCAGTCAGCTTCCAATTTGTAAACCATCATTTTTCGGCTCTTTTCATTGTGGTGCACACGAATAATCGGTAGGCTTGCCCAGGGGTGTCTGGCCTAGCCTCAGTCAATCACGTGACCTCATTTCGTTAATGTGGATTTAGCCTATGGAGCTTCAGTAAGCGATCAAACCTGAAATGCTAGTTATGTCCTGGCGCGAGAATACAAGGAGAGCCAGAAAAAAATAGTTACCTGAAAAATTCGTTTATAAATGTTGAAATTTTGTTTGTATGCAGGTGCACCGTATTTCTTATACAACAGCATGGCATCATAAACTCGAGAATCTTTGATCAAGCTGGCAGCATACGCCGCAACATATTTGTGCAAGCGTTGGTGCTCCCGTACACATTTGGCATTTGATGCGGCCGTGCCGGGACCGGCTGCTGTAGTAGCTACTTGAACGAGTTGTTCAGCGGCGGCCAAGCACTTCTCCCATCGACCTTGTTCGGCGTACATGTCCAGCGCGGACAAAACATCCACACTGGCCAAAGTTTCGGCTTGACCTGTAGACTAAGGGAAACAAACATGGAGGTATCCGTATAAGTTGGTGAAAAGTTCGACAACAGAGCACTGAAGAGGAGCAGGTTATTGCTAGAAAAATGATCCAATTGAAATTAGTTCTACCTGAAAAAATAGGTAGATAACTTAAGATGCCTCCATGCATTAGGTAGATTAACAACATTCAGCTTATTTTGTAGGCTCAGTTGATTCCATTTTCATGGGACCAGAAAGAAATTTGCAATTTAGATTTTATCATCAGAACTGAGTGGCCAATTCATTACGATGAATTGGTGTTAGCTATTTTTTCCACACATTTGCCAAAGTTGACTCCACTAATTAGAGATGAAGCACCAAGTTTGTTTAAGATTTCCAGAGTATAAATGTGATAAAGACAGTGTGTAGTCTAGCTGTACATACACGCATCTTGACGCATGCTGTAAGTTGTCCACTAAATTCAGTTGTGACCGGTCACAGCGGATACTGAGCTTACTTTTAATGCTTCTTTGTATTTGGCCTCAACGTATGATTCCAATCGCGGTTCCAGTTCTCGCGTCACTCGTCGAGCTTTACTCCACTCGCCACCGGCAATAAATGCATCAATCGCTTTTTGAATCTTGTCCACACTGAGCAGTAGCTCACCCGCCAAAGAATGTCGCTAGTCAATGGCAGCAGATATGACATAAAGATAAGTTATTTTCACCAAAGTAGGGCAAAGTAATTTCACTACGGTAAAACTGATAACGAAACTTTTAGCTGCGGGATCATGTGCAAACATACTGCGTACAGCATTATTCGAAATGTTACGAGACTGTCATTCACTAAGCTATCCAACTTAAAGTATTCAGTCACCTGTTGTATGTTCTGCAATGCGTGTGCAATTCTCTTTCAAAAGTGGTAAATTCGAAAGGTTTCCTGGTTCTTATAATTACGGTAGACCACACCGGTGTTCAAGAAGATGGAATATATTGAATCAAGAGGACATGCGGCAGAGCTGTCAGTTGTATCTACGGTGTGATTGCTCCATCGTTTCACATTGTTTTGTCCCTCTCATCCGTAAGCTTGAACAAGTAAACTCTCTCTGACCCTTTCTGTGATCTGATTGGATCATTTTCCGCGATTTGTGACACCTGGAATCCTTCACCTCAACATGAGACTCTGATTACCGCCCTGTACTTTTTGTAATGCTCTTGTTGACACATCCAGTCAATCTGTGTAATGATGGTACGCCTGCTGTACAGTTGACGTTCATTGGGTTTGCCTAAGACCCAATGAACGTCAACTGTAC